TTGCTTTCTCTTGTTGCAGATTGTACAGTTTCGAGGTCGAAACTTTTTCAAGAGAGAGGGTATGATGCGGACATCAAAACCAGAATAAATCGGGAGCAAACCAGTCCACACACCAAACCGATTCACATGGAGCATTTTGGAGATTGCTTGCCTATATGGAGTGCTGAACAAGCTCAAGGCCTAGGGTTAATTATTCACCATCAAATTTACCCTAAGAAGACCAATGGTTCACGAGAACTGATTCAAGATGGTACATCCTGATGTACGAGCTGAAGTACTCCCGGACGGACCTGAAGTACTCGCTGACGAACCTGAAGTAGTACAAGACCAGATGAAGTTATTCAAAGAAGTTTTTCTTGTACCACGTAATGGTGTTTATGGACATTTGAATTGGAGACTAGAAGACACTTTACACCATTCAAGGCCCATATCACACAAGAGTTGGTGCACCTCATCTCACATGATCTTTATGGAGCTTAAAATGGATGTTTCCTTAAATGGCTCATTCCAAATATTCCCATGGCGACCTGGAGAGTTTCCATATCACTTAGAAGGTTCATTACACCCTCTAGGATGTACCACACCACAATTGATCAGGAGGATCAATTTTGAGCTCTACTTACCTTATTTGGACCCGTTTGGCATCAACACACAACGGCTCCTTGCTTCTTTGTTTGTGAGCGTGTTTAAGAATATTTCTACCATCAAGAAACTCCCAAGACACTCAACATATCTCCCAAAACCGTCCAGATATAATTCCAATCATATATCACCTCTATGGCCAAGGATTCCACCATAAAGACTCCAACGGCTAGTTTTTGATCACATATTTTATTTCTTTGTTTAGATTTTAGAATGTTGTACTCAGCCCTATATAAGCTGATCATTAGTCACATTGTAAAGACACCCTTGATCATTTTTAAAGTAATAGCAAAGTTTCTGCTTGTCAAAGTTCAAGTCTTTGTCATTCTTCTTCTTTAGTTCTTTGTGAGTGACTCACTTAGATCTTTAGAAACCTGCGGATTAAGTTTGTTGTGTGATTCAAAAACCTTCATTCGTCCATTGATCGAGTGAGTCGATTATCCCACTGATTGAGCGAGACAATCACTTGAACTATCCCCTGAATCACCCCTTGATTCACGAGAGAGTGCTTCTGGCCAGCTCGTGAATTCCACCTTCCGCAAGCTAAGCTTGGAATCTCTTGATCATCAAGTGATCTAAAGTTTGGAGTGATTCCAATCTTGTATCACTTTGCCTGTCCAAGAAGTCGATGATTTGGATGTTGAAGCTTTTGATGATGATAGTGTTTATGTTAGGGATGATTGTGAAGGGTTGTTAGTGGTAGATTGATAGGTATTTTTTTGGTTTTTGTAAACATTTAAATAATTACAGATTTTGTATTAATTTTAATTATAGTTTACAAATATTCGAAATAAAAATTATATTTTAAATAAAAAATCATTTTGTAATTATTTTGAATAAATTTTGGATAATTAAAAACTAACAGATAACATGAAACATCTTCTATCTTTGCAATAGATAAAATAAAATTAATAAGTTTTAAAAACATTTGTTTCACGTTATTATAAAGTTTAACAATTGCAGAGAAAACAACGCTATTGTTGTAAGCATAACTATAGCACAGACACAATCCGCTATCAAAAGTGTCGGATCTACGATAACGGGCGCTGTCAGAGCGGCTAAAGAAACGCTATTGTACACATATCATAACATTTAACGGCCGCTATTAATACCCTAATTTCCTGTAGTGAGTCTAGGGGAGGGGAGAGTACTAATGGTTGTTAAAATAGTTTATGATGGTTATGGTATTTGTACAGGAAAGAGTCTAGAAGGTTCTTCGCATTGATAAAATCGATGATACCCAGCTATGAGGGCTTAATAGAGGATTTTGTGGAATTTGGTTTGAATTTGGGATGTTTCGAATGACTACGGAGAAGTACATGGTGGGTCAATTAGATTGTGTTTCTAAAAGCATGTGAATTTATAGTTTGATGATCAAGACAATGTTCTAAAACAAAAAGTTGAATTTCCGCCTTTTCAAACTTCTTTCACATGTTAAGTTTCTATTTTGCTTGAGTGCAAGCAATTGCTAAGTTTGGGGGAGTTGATATATCATGGTTTTCTAGAGTCATTTCAGGATTATGAGTGTGGCATGGACTTGAGCAATTTGGAGCTTTTTGGAGCATATGAAGAAACTGGACTGAATAAACGAGATTTGGAGAGCATATTTGGTGTGAGTGACTATCGATACAACACATGATGTCAATCAATGCCAATATTTGATGGCAATTGAATTTCACGTCTTTTCAAAGTAACAAAGAATTGCGGATTTTTCCGAGAAGTTTTCCTTATATGCAATTAAGTCCCAAATCGTGTTTAAAGCATAACATATTGAGTTTTTAGGGTTTTCTGAGAACTTAAGTTTTATTTGGAGAGAGAGATTTGAGAGAGCTGGGAGAGAAGAATCAAAACCTCCTTCAGAGAAGATTTAGAACTCTTTTACTTTTTATATTACTTTCTTTGATGCAATCTATTTTATTCATGATGTATGTTTCATTCACCATGTTTCAGTCGATTCCTTTTTAGGTTTACGGTTTAAAAGTATTTCACGAATTGTTAGGTTGTTAATTAGATTGTTAGGATTGAAGGTAACTTTGAGCATATATGCCAAAGAGAGAAGGAGATAATGGGTTCTTTACAGTGAATCAGAGCTGATCTTTTTGATAATGGGTGTTTTACAATGAATTGTTAGCTGAGCTTTTATAGGCTCAATACACAACGGTCCTAAAGTCTAAAAAAAGAAAAGCAATCGCAAAACATAAAAATATGGCCGCTCGAGCTTTGTTGACTAAATCGACCAAAATAAGGAAACTCTCTTCTCTTGTATCTTGAAAGCTTGGAGAGGAATGTGCGACTTTTTGGAACATTTTGAGATGTCTTTAGAGTCTTTAATATGCAGCAGCTTTGGTAGAAATAGATCTGTTGATGTTTAAACACTCCTAGTGTGAATGAGCCTAGAAAAGGAAAGTAGGAGTGGAAGAGGATTCGCCTAAATCTTTGGATGCTGGTGTATGGTGAGGCATCTCAGAGAATCTCCGAATGATATAGAAGTTCTCCGGGTCGCCAAACATAAGTCTCCAAGGAACCCAGTAAAAAAAGTTTCGTTTTTGACAACATATGGCCCTCGGGTAAGGCCAAATGAGTAAGTCATAATCCAACTCGAACGAGGGTGTGAATTTGCTCGATCATTATGCTCCATATGGTTGATTTGGTGGTGAATAATGAAGCCGAGAACGAGTGGATTCTCCAAACTGCTGCTCAACTCGCCAATGAACATATCCGAGGAGGCTCTCATAGCCATCTCTCAAAATACCTCGATGGGGGTTGTATGGATATATAGATTGGCTGATGGTTCCAAACGCTTGCTTGTGGTATGGTGGAAAGAGGTATTCGTGAACGATCTTGATTTCTGGTCGTCCGTCTTCAATTTTGGCTCGATAAATCTTCATAAAATGTGCTCTTTGTGAGTGAATACTCAGCCTTGATCGAGAAAAGTCTTCATTTGGTCGATCAAAGTTTATTTGGCATTATCCGTGTGGTATGTTATGCACGTTGGATGACATGACTCATTTTTATCCGATTCCGTTTCTATGAATCTTCAAAATATATATTTGAAACAGTTAGATGCGCCGAAAGTTCTCGATAAATCCCTCTTAAATCTCTTGGTATAAAAAGCGGTCATTTGCCCTTTAAAAACTGTCAAAATTTTTAATATTTTTCAAGAACATTTCAACGGATGTTTTCTACTCAAAATATTTCGAAGGATATCTGATTACTGTTTTTCATATATTTTTCCAAAAAAATTCAGAAATTTTTCGCAAAACTATCAAAAATATTTATGGGATTTTTTCTCAAAAAATTTCGTCAAAAATTGACTTATTTTCTTGTAGTGTTTGTTTGAGCTACTGGAGGTCAAGGTACGATCGCCGATTTAGTTGAACCCGAGGTTAATATATGAGATTACAGCAGTATCTTCTAATCAACTGTTTATAAAACTTTCAATTTCTAAAGTGGAAGAAGGAGAGAGAGAGACAAATAGATATTGAGGCTTGCAGGGGTTGGGAATATAAATTCCAGCCTCAGGAGACTACAAACGACGTCTAACTTGTTTTTTTTTTATCTACTGTACGCATGTCATGTCATAAAAGGGCAGACACGTGTTATCTCAAAAACATCTGAAAATGGTGACATGGTATTCGTTGGATAGTGTCCCTTCTTCGGTATTATTACACACAAAAGGGAATAAACATCAAACGTTACACTCACACGAATTTCTTGGACAAACTGTTGTTGTCTTCTTTAGTTATTTTATTTTCGATATAAACATTAATTTCACTTAAAAAAGAACTTGGTTTTAGATCCATTAGCTCATTTGATCAGCCAAGGGGACATAAGATAAGTTAAGAACATCATTTCTTGTGTCGCAAACAAGACAGTTTAACCTGTCTTAAATTTTGTGCCTGTTAGTTCCGAACTTGAGTATGTAACGTTTATGGCTAGCCTAGATCTCGTTCTAGACGTTCGTTAGCTTGTGACAACAATGTCCCGAGAGAGTTACGTTGTTGTAATAACCTATCTTTTGTAGTTTACTAATTATTAACTTACTATATATAAAGGTTACATGTGATCATTAAATAAGTACGTACGTCGGGAGAAAATAAAACTTGTCGAGGTGATTACAAGTTAAACTCGACATTGTTAAAGTACAGGCTTCGGAGAGACCCTTTGGGTTAATCCTCTTTTATGAAGGACTAAAATAAAATAAAAAGTAGCTCAAAAGAGAGAAGTATTTTCTAAATTACTAAGAATTTTCGAAAAGTAGTGAATTCCATTTTTGTGTTAAGAAATTTTCTCTTCAATACTTTTGATTATTTTTTTTTAAATCTAGCCTCATTGACGCCTTAATCATAGGTTTGCAATTATGTGCAATTTTATGTTGATTTGCACGAGTTTAGGAAAAATTTCAAGCCAACGTAAGAAGGCATCATGCATGTTAGAAACTAGTAACACTTGTTGTAAGGTACAATTTAAACAAGTGATTCTTCAATTCATCATCAGCTCTTTTCTCTTCCAATCTAGACGCCACCTAGAGATCGATCATAAAGTGGAAAATATATATATTAATCCAAAAGCTTGAATTATAGAGAATATAAACATTCCAAAAGATGAAAGAGGAGAATATTAACGAACCGTAATCTCTTGTTGTCTTGCATTTGAAGCATTCTGCCCTACTTGCGTAGTTGTGAACCCCACAGCCGACCCGGGGACAAACCCAATCGCCAGTTTTCCACCCGGGAGGACCAGCCGCGGCGTCATTCCCGTAAGCAACCATTTGAGCTCCATAGTACTGTTCCGTATACTCGACTTTGATCATTCCACATCGGTAACAACTTGTGCGGCTCGCGTAATTGTGGCTTCCACAATTCAATGCACCACAATACCAATCACCAGCCAAAACCTCAGTCCTATTGTACAAGTATGTCGACACATCTACCCCACCAAACTTGGGGTATCCACATTTTTGGCATGACTCTCGTTTTTTGAAGTTTGGGTGTTGGCACGCCCCGCATAGCCAGTCTCCTCCACTCCAACTCATCTTTATCTTTATGTGTATGTATATCTCTAAAACACCTGAAAACGTTTACTAGTAGTTTTTAGCAAACTTACTCAAAATAACCTATGAAGGGATGAGGTTGAGTAAAAGGTGGAAATGTGATCAAACCTGAGAAGACACAAAAGACTAGTAAGCCAAATGAAGCGGTGAACTTGGTAGTTTGAGGAACATGGCCTTTTATAAGCATTAACAAGAGAATGTTAATTTAGATAGATGCTGATTCTTTCAACTTTCTTTGCAACATGAGGATATAGTAAATCAAATAAACTATAACAAAGAAATTAAAATGCGAACTAGTGTGGTGGCAAGAATTTGGAACAAGCGCATAACTTTTAAATGGTGTGAAATTTTTAGTCTTATTGGGTTTGTGACACTGACACCATGTGTTTATTTTATTACCTTGTGATGGTTTTATTGCAAAATCTTTGTAAGAGAGTTTAACTACGTTCAAACATTATGGTGAAGTAGACATCCAATATTAACGTAAAAGTTGAAACTGTTTCATTTGAAGGAGAAAATAGTTGAAACTGTCTTCGAAGACTATAAAAGTGATTCTCAATTGCATTATTGTGGGTAAAAGAGAAGAGGATGATGAATGGTATTATTCTCTTCTGTTGCCCCCCAATAACCATTTGTTCCAATTCTGCCCTTCATGGTCGTTCATACCAATTGCTTCTCTATGGATTTCGAAATCTTTCATATTATCCGTTTCGTTTTTGTTATCCTGTAATGGAATGAAAAGTGTACACTGTCCCTATAACTAGTTAATATACATTGGAAAATGTCAAAACCAATCACCCAATCAAAAGTAGACATATGTTAGTTGAAAGGCAAATCTAATGAACCAAAGACAAATCAGATATTTCGTTTAAAACTTATTTTATACAATAAGAAGAACTTGATAAACTTTAATATTAAACATGTAATTAAACATGTGTGACCGGAAAGCTAATCAAACAAAATTTGATTAGCTTCGCTACCTTATGTACGATGTTCTTGCTTATTCTTTGTTTTCATCCTCCTACTCTTTTGAAGTTTTATTCGACCATAGCCTTCATTTCTTCTAGATCTTTTAAATAATATTTTATGGAGTAATAAAGTTAACATTATGAAAATAATCGTACTCAATTTGAGATGGTTATCAAACAATCATTTTCCTAAATAATATTTTTATAATGCACTTCCTTTTTCATAAAGAAGCGATAATCTATTGGTTCACTTATTAAAAAAATAAAAATATAATGATTTAATTGATGGTTGAGAAACGGTGGATGTGTCATCAGTGAAGGTGCTCTTAGAAGTTAAATTTTGTTTCGGAGTAACTATTGTTTTAGTTTTAATGTATATGTTCATTAAGAAATCTTGTTTGATCTCTTTACTTAACCAATTTTGTTTAAAAATAATATATTAATGAATGTTCTAAATATGTAAAACTTTAATTATTTTCTTAATGTATGTGAAATGACTTTATTAATATAACTTTAAAATACATATCATTTGAATCCGAGGGAATACAACGACATGAAGAAAAAATTGGAACTTCAATATTGTGTAAATATATTTTGGTTTAATATATAGTGGTTCTTTATGTGTCTTGTTTTAAAGCAAATACTCAGAAATGAGTAGAAATTGGTGATTTTAATATCATATTGTGTGTGAAAATAAAGTTAATAATTTAATGTATTTTTTTATTTCTATATATATTACAGTTTATCATTTACTGCTAATTACATGTGCATTTTACATTGGCGGAAGGCAAATAATACTACATGATGATTATTATTTTTCGAAATGTTAAAATTTTTAATAAAAAGAAAACACTTGAAATTTTACCATAAGATGAGGTAAAAATAATATTTGGTTAACTAGTAACTAGATATAAATTGGCAATTTAAAAAATAGAAAATATATATACTAAACTAGATGAAACTCCCCCGGGTATGCTCTCTTCTAGCTAATGTCTCAAAGGGCCATATGGGGCAGCCATAACGCGGACAATATTAAAGTGTTACAAAAACTATATACAACTAAATTCACTTAGAATTTATTCTTTATTATAATGCCAATTTATTCTTTTCTAACACTTTTATTCTTTTTTTTTTCTTCAATAATTCAAAAGTGATCATACCCAAGATTCACCAAGGCATACATGTCTACGTTCATTTCTTCCTTCCCCCTATATGAATTGGTTCAAATTAAGTTTATATAACTTTTACCAAACACGATTTTTTTCTACGTTATCCTAAATTGTCCGATTTTGAATTCTTGTTGTCGGCTACTTCAATATTTACAGGACATTCTGAAATCGGAAAGATTAAGCATTAATCAGTTTGACGTATAATCTACTTATTATTCTCTACATGCCATAATTGTGTACATGCATGCATGGCTATTTCGATAGTACCAAAAACTTAAAATAAAATGATTTTTTTTTTTGTTAAAGAACTTTACATAAAATGATTAAAATATCTTACGTATATTTGAAGCCAAATCTCTTAGTAAATTTTGGTTCATCGATCTCATCTTGTTCTTACAAAAATTGACTACTCTTGACAATCCCAGCAATATTTTGTTATATGTACCAATAAAAAATCACTATAATATTTATTATTTACTTATAATTATTATTTAAGCTTTCTGTTTAACATAATTATTATTGAGTCATATGGTCAAATGAATAGAACTAAATTTATAATTAACAATTTAACAGAATAACCAAGTATTCCATATTTTTTTTCAGCCTGCAGATTGGACTTTCTTTTAAATTTAAAGGTTGGTTACAAAATAAAGAACAATATATTTGATAAAATGACCAAAATGTCTTTGAATATCATGAAATATCTCATCTTGTTTATCCTCTCACCTTCTTCTTCTTCTTCTTCTTCTTTTTTCTTTTTTAAAAATTTTAGTCTCCTCTTAGTATATTGTTTTAATTGTTTCTCTCTATTTTAGTGAATAACATGTTATATGTAAAATACCACATTTTATGGAAATTGAGTTACAACTTCCAGTTAAATAGTAACATCAATGGCTAAAGAATAGCCAAAAAAAATAATCAAATTTTTTAATAGGATGACGAAATTGAAACACTATTTACTACGAAAATATCAGTAAAAAAAAGACAGCTTAAAGAAGTTCAAAAAGAACATGAAAAATAAAGAGAAAGCACATATTCATTGGATCTAATTTCATTATAATAATTATAATAATTAGCTCTAAAAATTCGATTACTACACTCTGTGTCGTCGCAATAGTCAAATCAACTAAAAAAAAAAACAATTCTTTACACCACTTTTTCAAATTAGATCATAGTAGTAATATTGTAACCAAGAAAGGTTACTTTTAGTAGTAGGGAATGTTGTAACTAAAGCAAATTGGGTTGCGGCGAGATGACGCTGTGTGTGTGTTTTTTCACTGAGTTGTTGTTGTTTACTTGATGTTTGCTGCGTCAACATTTCACTATGTTTCTTGGAAAAGAAGCAACCTTACATTTTTATATACTAAATTGACAATCTTGAGATGACTAACCAAGTAGAATCCTTAACCCATGAGTGTGGCCCACGTACAACAATGATTTGATTCTTGTAAGTTTATATTATAGTTTGTGATGTATATTTTAACTAAGGAGATATTAAATAACGAGAGTGCTGATATAAGTTGGAAAAAAAGAAAATTCTATGTTGGTTAATAGGTTTTTGTATGAATTCCAAGAAAAAAATAGGGAAAAGGGTTTGCTAAAATTAATATCTATTTAATTTTAAATATTATTCACTTGAAAATTCAAAAAAATATCATGTGTTATTAAATTATTGATTATATTTTCTCAAAATAATGTTTTATTTGTTCTTTAATTTTTAAATACTAATTAAAATCACGTGTTTTCATTTTAAGGATGTGATTATTGCAGAATTTCCAAATCTATAATACCTTTCAAGTGGACTTGAAGATGAAAAATCTAATGATTTAATTTCGCACATAAAACATGTTATTTCAAAGTCTACTGAGAGTAGATACCATTACACCAAGATCGAGTTTTGTTCTCTAGAAACATAAAAAGTTGGCTGATAGATCTGCCTATTATGAAAAAAATAAAAGAAAATTTTCAAATCATATTAAAATTTAATTAATGAACTAACAAAATAGTTGGCTAATACCTTAAGTGGATGTAAAGATGAAAAATCTAATGATTCAATTTTGTACATAAAACATGTTATTTCAAAAGCTACTGAAAGTAGATACCATTACACCAGAGATCAAGTTTTGCTCCCTAAGAACATAACAAATTGGCTAATATATCAACATATTATGAAAACAACATGAGAAAACTTTCGAATCGTATTAAAAATTTTAAATCAATGAACTAATAAATACTGCTAACCAAGAAAAAATACTGTATATTGTTTAAAGTTTTGGTCTTGTAACGTTTTTAAGTTTCATACAAATTAAGCTTACTCAAAATCAATATACAGAAGAAACTAATAAAAGTTCTAAGAGAAAAGGAAAGATTCTAGCGTGTTGACACCGAGGGGGATTCGATAAGAAAGAATCAAAATCAGTACACAAGATGTGTCACAAAATGGCATATATGCCTAGATGGACTGACTATTACATCAATCTTCTTAACAAGTGTATTCCATTGGTCGTAACTTTTGCATTGTTCGATTTTATTTTTGGGGTTTTATTTTGTATAGACATGGAAAAATATATAAATCGACATCCTTGGCACTTGTGGCATAAGGTATAATATAACTGTTTTTCTTTTTCTTTGATATCTAGCTTATATGAATATTCCATCTCTATGCCACGTTACGTCTATTGAATATTCATTTTAAAATAAATTTATATAAAATGTGACTATTTATGTTATCCATAAAAAATGTTATTTCGTAAAACTTAAAAGTTGTATCATTGTCCGTGCCGGTCTTTAGAGCATTTCCAATAATAAACCTTTAAGAAAAATTCATTACAATAATTTATTAACAAATATTTATTAAATAAAAATTAAGAATTTGTTTAGGGTTCATCAATTTTTTGTTTCTCCGTTTATGAACCTCAATAGGGGTTCCTCAAAATAAATAAATTTTGTTTTTTGATAATTAATTCCAGTCCTGAAATTTGCCTCTTGTATCTTTAGCCAACCAT